GAATGTGAAATAAGATCTGAAATATTTCCATGGAAGCACAATAACTCAACTCCTGGAATTTTAGCAATTTCAATTTGCAACTCACCAGATTTTAGGACAACGATATTTCCATTCACCTAAGTATATGATTCTGCCAAATTGTGCAGAGCACATATTTTCACATCTACTTTACCGCTGAACCAGAAATGTCGTGTATTCCGACAGGTCATGGGTCATATATGTCTGGTATATAAATGTTTGCCACACCAACGTAATTACAATCTTCAAGAATGAGGTGTCATTTCTACCTCTATGTGACACTTCTTGTTGTCGCGTCACGGTCTCAAGAACGTAAGTATCCACGTTATTTGCACTCTATTTGGAACAGTTTTACTCATTCAACCTGTTTTGTCGCTATTTTTACATTTCTGCGTAATGTTGGTGGTCTGTTTAACTTACCATCTAAAAGGAGATATTGAATTTATCAACTAAAAGAAAGGAGTCGTTCATTCAATTTTCTTAAAGGAGCCCCCCACCTTACGACTAAAGGACAAATTATTAACCATTTCTGAATTAATTCCATGACAATTTGAAGACATCCTTGGCATTCATTCAAGTAGACTTCCTCCATCAAGAGAAGTAAATGTTGCTGGTACCTTCAATGTCGATCCGGCCACTCTCAGCACTATACGCGTTTGAAACACCCGATGACGTAGTGACACCAACATCTCAATGACATTGTGTTAGGGCAAGGAAAATTATCATAATTACAAATAAATTTCCTGCATAAACACTTCTCAGCTAATGATCTCCATCCGCGAGTGTTGGCAAAATCACGTGCAGTATCTTAGTACAAATAAATGTCAATGTCAATTTATGCACAAAGTGCAGTATGGGTGTAGACTCCACGATGTTAAGGAGAAACACGTTGTTCAAGTGAATATGCTAAGGATTATTCTCTAAATGTGTGCAAATAATCTTAATGGGGATTAAGTAAAAGTAATTAATGAATACACAACTGTCTGCCCATCTACCGCAAACTAGTATTTGCGTGGCTTGTAAATATTAGGATGTGCACTAACTTGAAGTGATAGATTGTTAGACATGAAATGATCGCGATTGCATGAAAAAATCTAGAGAAAATAGGTTGTAACTGCGTATGCGCTTTTTCCTTTCCTATAGAACTTTCAGTACAAAATGTCCAACTGTGCCAAATTGGGAAGACCCGGGCAAGACTTACCTTTGACGCATTTGACTTTTCAAGCGATTGTTCGTCGACTCCGGAATATCTAATTCACCACAAAGACGGTGACTCAGATATGGATTACCATTATATACACACACTCAACGGAACCTATGAATTTAAGGGAAAAACTTTTAAGGTAGAAGTCGAGCCTAGGTGCAATAAACGAGAGTCACAATTTTATTATTCAATGCCAACATCAATAATTATTCAAAAAATCACCGAAGGTAAGTTTTTAAGAAAATTTTTAAAACAGTATTTAAACTTATTTGTTGCATTGAGCAGTAAGAATGGAGTAAGGATTCTATTCACGGAGTTCCTCTCTAATATGCTTTACAAATTTTGTGTTTCTCTTCCTCCTCTAAGGCTTTGACATCTGGAAAAATTTATTTATTGATTTCAAATGGCAGGCTGTATGATATTTATCATTAGCCCTTAAACTTTCACTTCAGCTTCCCCCAAGAGTAGGGGGTACATCTTTAGCAGTAAATTAAAAGCCGTTCATTAGCTGTCGTCTTGCTTCCCAGTATCTCTGGCTTTCCATCGTTGCCTTTAGGGCTGGACACCGAATCAGGTGGATCTTCTCCATTTCCTCCTGTAGGTTACATAGGGGACATGTGGGTTTAGTGTATACTCCCAATCTGAGAAGGTGTTTTACCAAGCAATCGTGTTCGGTACGTGGTCTAAATTCAGCAACGACTTCGATTCTTGGCCAGTCGGGTATGTCGAAGAGTGCCACTGTCCACTGTTTCTCCTTTGTTCCAGCTTTAAGTTCGTTTCACCTCGAGGTCTGCAATTCTCCTCTGATTAAGGCCTTCATTGTGTGGAAAGACATCGGCCGATCCATGCATTGCAAAATCGTTGTCCCCTTCTTAGCAAATTAAAAGCCGTTCATTAGCTGTCGTCTTGCTTCCCAGTATCTCTGGCTTTCCATCGTTGCCTTTAGGGCTGGACACCGAATCAGGTGGATCTTCTCCATTTCCTCCTGTAGGTTACATAGGGGACATGTGGGTTTAGTGTATACTCCCAATCTGAGAAGGTGTTTTACCAAGCAATCGTGTTCGGTACGTGGTCTAAATTCAGCAACGACTTCGATTCTTGGCCAGTCGGGTATGTCGAAGAGTGCCACTGTCCACTGTTTCTCCTTTGTTCCAGCTTTAAGTTCGTTTCACCTCGAGGTCTGCAATTCTCCTCTGATTAAGGCCTTCATTGTGTGGAAAGACATCGGCCGATCCATGCATTGCAAAATCGTTGTCCCCTTCTTAGCAAGTGTGTCAT